TTTTTTTTTTACATCCATCGAATGTCGCTGATTTGCTTCAATATTATTCTTCATTCAGATATATGTGAGAAGCTCAGATTTCAACCGAACGCTGATGTCAGCACAAGCCAACCTTGCAGCCATGTTTAAACCTCCAGCTAATCAAGTACTAGCTAATGATTTGAGATGGCTACCAATCCCTGTGCACACTGTTGCTAAAGAATCCGATCCGGTAGGTGTTGGTCAAATAACTGCTTCGCTTAACAAATGTTGATCATTTCGATAAACTTTTTTCAGTCGCTAAACCTTACATTCAAAACTGCGATTTTATTATTAACAACGAATATCTGCTCAGTCGCCATAACCGATTGAAGCGAAACCGACAGTATTCGATTGGGCATGAAAAGCCATGATAGCAGAACGCCTTTTGGTATTTTGAACTTCAGATGATGAGAAATAACAATTCTTAAAGCTCGTAACTGGAAATTTATTTTATGACAGTTCTTCATTCATTCAATTATTTCACTGAATGAATGAGGAATTGTCATAAAATAATTGTAAGTTCATAATGAAGTAATCGAAACAAAAGATCTTATCGCAGTAGGCACACTAATGATCGAAAGCAAATCACAGTTTTTTNTTTTTTCGTGATCTTTCAAACGGTATTGGTTTTCTCAATCGGTTATGGTCACTAATCAGACCTCCCTTCTACGATCGATGTGTTTTTGATCAAATATCTCTTGTAAGATTGTTGTAATCAGATTTTTCGAAGTAATTGTAACGAATTCAAGGAATTGTACGAGTCAATTGAATGCCCAGCAGCGAACAAAAAAGTCACGCAGATGTACGCACAAAATAAGGAGATAGTGGCACTGGAAAAGAAGAACGCTGTACTTCTGAACTATATCGCTAAAAACGCTCACTGGCCCAACGGCACACTAAGTTTATCGGAGATGTGGTTTATATTCGATCCGCTGAATGTTGTGGTATGTTGTTTTCGAGAAGTATCATTTCCATGTGCTGATCACGGTTATGATCGGCGTTAAGATCAGCAGTTAGACGGAATCAACGAGCATTAGTTTGATTATGTTATGATTAGTTATGATCGGCGTTAGCAATTGATCAAGAAACAATTAGGAATGAAGAAGCTACCTGAATTGCAAGCCTAAAACATTGTTTTTGACGATATGAATGCCGCTATAAAGCACTGTATTGTCTCATTCAGATGCATTCACTTGAATGTGCATTCATTTGCTCTCAAAGCATGGTTTGATATTAANTATAAAGCACTGTATTGTCTCATTCAGATGCATTCACTTGAATGTGCATTCATTTGCTGTCAAAGCATTGTTTGATATTAAATCGTTCAGCAGCACCCATTCAAATGAGTATGTTTGCAAATCGATTGCAGTTTCATCATAACGATACACACAAAATGCCGAAATGGGTGAATTCGACTATCTGGAATGAGATCGTTCGTCTGTATGACCAAACTTGCCAGTTCTACTTTAGTACCGATAAAGTGAAGCGATTACGTGCAGGTTATTTACTTCATCTCATTGAGAACAATTTTTTTTGGTTCGTTCATACTGAAGTTTTTTCGCTCCTTCAACTCTGTGTTCTTTCAGTTTGAGTCTTGTCTATTTTGATTGTGCCATGAGGATTTTCTTCTGCTTAAAACAAGCTCGATTTCACTCACAATTATTTTCGACCGTGAATATTGTCCATAAACTGTTGCTTCGTTCATAATTCCGGATTATCGCCTGCAAAGTGTTATGAATGTTTTCGTTGCTTTCGAGTTCGAAACCTTCTTCGCTAGTCTTTAGAATTTGCAGTGAAAGTACTATTCACATTGAGTGTTGTTCAAGATGGAATTTTCAGGTATGTTGCTCAAAGATATTATCGGCCGTTTGAAAAGAAAGTCACATAATCCAGTCACTGAGCGAGAAAAGTTTTATGCATATTCAGCTGTGAGTTCATTTTCATTTGCATGCACCTCATCTAAAACTTCAGCTCAGTAATAC